CAGAATGTCTGTTTGAATTATGTTTGACTTTTACATGGATGTCCCGGCAGTAACTGAAGAAACTCTCTCCTATTGCTCCCAATCATACATGTCCACGTTACACAGGGACAGTTTGGAGTCTGGTTTGCATTAAACCTGTTTTGTGAGTTTAATATCATTGCAGCCTTAAATGACAGAAAAGGTAAAAAGAAAAGAGAAGTCATTCAAGAACTAAAGGATAGAAAGCACATTAAATTTGGAAATGGGTGTCAGATCAGATGGGGGAGGAGAAAGAACAGCTCCAAGAACAGTACCTGCAGAGGGGAAGACTGGTCAAAAACCAGCAGAGAATATAAATGCTACCAGACAACACTGCTGCTAGTGCTGATGGATAAAATTAGTTTGTGCTCATTTCACATGCATCTTATGGTTAAAAATCTATTAGTCCCTCTACTCATATACCTCTTCCGGAACATGTGCTAATTTTTGCAACTGTTCTCTAATTTTTTTTTCCAAATAAATGTAAGTCTAAAATGTATCAGAATGCATGAAGTGCTATATAGACTTCAGCACATAACATGCTATCAAAACACAATTGTCTGGTTTTGACATTTTACTAGGTGGTTGGTTACCTATTCTTTTCTCAAGAAAATTTATTCCTGATTTTCAAATGGTGAACGACACTAATAATGCACTACTAAAGCAAAACAAAACAAAACAAAAACGAAAAAAAAAAAAAAAAAAAAAAAAAAAAAAAAAAAAAAAAAAAACACCTATTTTATCCAAACTCAAATGTTCCTTGTCACTTAGCTGGAAAAGAAATTGCACCACTCACGGAATCTTTTCCTTACTGGAGCAATGAAGAACCTTCTTTTCAAAGGCAGATGTCTAGGATAAGCATTCTGGTGAGCCTAGTGTAAAATGCCCTGATTCTTTACAGAGGCATTAAACCATTAAGTACACAGAGTTTCCTCTGAATTTTAAAATCAGAAAATAATTTCGGGTTTGTGGCATAGCAGCCACAAAGTAGGACTAAGTTGTGTGTAGAGGATAGAATGAAGCTGGAAACAGGAAATCTGTGTGTTTGAAGCCATGGTATTTACTAGTCACTTACACAGCATTCTGCTAGTAAACACCACATCGTTAGCACATGCCAAGTCGTGAATTTTACAACCCAGAGCTCTATCTGATTCTATAGGAAGTGCCTGGTTTTATCTTTAAATCATTCCAATTCTTTCAGCTGCTGGAGCAGTTAGATCTATTCTTTCTGCACCAGGTGATTTGTCTTCACATCTAAACTAACATCTAAAGGGAATAGGGATCAAACTGCAAAACTGAAAGCAGTACTAATCATTTATGCATACTGTTTGGAAACAATTCTCAGGTTTGAAAAGTGCCTTTCAAATAAATATAGACCAAGGAAATGTAATCATCAAAAACGACTTAGACATCACCCTCATCAAAAAGAACAAATTGTAATCACGACATATAATAGCTCTTGAGCAATGTTCACATCCCTGTCAGGGGTTTTGAAAGATTGATAAAACAGGATGTAGATATTAAATGGGTTTTTTTCTTAAAAAAAAAAAAAAAAAAAAAAATTACGCATACACGATAACAGTTTCCTGGCAAGCTGAACTTCACAGTTTTTGTCATTTTTTACAGCCTGTCTTGATTTATAGAAAGTGTTATCTCCAGCAGGCAAAGCTACAGTGCAAGGGGAACTGCCTGTCTCTGGCCATGCACAACTGACCCAATTCTTCACATGTGGAGATTAAAAGCAAAGACTCTGGAAAAGCTAATGTCCTCTATCACATCTGGGCTCTGGAAGCTCCACATCACTCCCAGGTTATGAACCTCTGAGCAAAAGCTTCTTCCTTAGGACTGTTATCTTCCCTTTGGTATCTGTTAAAACAAGAATGAGGCTGTTTCTGGAGGTGCTTTCCTTCATCCCTTGCCCTGCGACTGAAGCCCCGGGTCCACTCTTGGACTCCTCCAACAAGCAGCCTGGGGAGAGAGGGAACTGAAGGAAATCCTCTCCTCCCTCTCTGCAGACCACCTGCATAAGACTGCTCCGCTGATCAGGGGTGGAAAGGTTACAGTTCCCTCTTCTGCCATAAATCGCATAATTGTAGAATCTTAGAATAGTTTGAGTTGGAAGGGACCTTTAAAGGTCATCTAGTCCACACACACACACACACACCCCTGCAATGAGCAGGGACATCTTCAACTAGATCAGATTGATCAGAGTCTTGTGCAACCTTGAGTGTGTCCAGGGGTGCGGCATCTACCGACTCTCTGGGCAACCTGTTCCAGTATCTCACCACCCTCGTCATAAAAAATGTCTTCCTTATATCTAGTCTAATTCTACCTTCTTTTAGTTTAAAAACATTGCCCCTTGTCCTATTGCAACAGGCCCTCCTAAAAAATCTGTCCCATCTTTCTTATAAGCCTCTTTTAGGTATTGGAAGTCCACAACAAGTTCTCCCTGGAGAGTGTCCCAAAACTCGTAGGAGCGGACTCCGAATTGGCCAGTTCCCCTTCTGCATCTTCAGGCAGTGTGGGAACCAGGCCACTGATTGCCATGGCCTTCCTTCTCCCACAAGCAACTTTTTCCTCTTTTTTTTGTTGAGTTTTTCCCAGTACCAGGGACAGGCCTGAGAGGCCAGCACCTCATTGCAGGAGCTGTACTTGGGGTTCACCTCTCCCACTACCAACCCCTTTGGCTTCTGCTTTTCTGCACTGGATCCTGAAGAGAAGGGGAAGAAATGGAGAAAAATGGGAGTATCATGTATATCTTCAGTGCACTGATCTTTGCTACAAACTATCTTTTTGCTTGAATAATGTTGATAAAACATCACTGGAGTGTTTCTCTCCATTATTGTGCCCACTTCCCCAAATCCAGACATCCCCCTCCCATCTGAAACTGGGATCCACATTCACCGTACTAGAGGTCACAATAAGAATGGCTATATTTCTTAGAAGCTCTTTTCAACATACAGCGAATGAATGAAATCCCCATCTGTTACTTTTTATCCTGCTGATTTAATCCTCTGAATCACTAGCAGTGAGAAGGGAAGCACTGGACATGCAAGAGAGCTATGCCATCTTCTTCCTGCCATACTGCCACGACTGCAAGAAGGAAAGCCACTCAAGCTGAAAAAGAAGGTGGTGGTTGCGGAGAAGTGTCTGTGAGGAGCTCTCAGCTCTGGAAAGGACTCACTGGTCTGAAATAGCCCGGGACTGTTGATCTCCAGGTCATGCTACAAGAAGCATCCTTCTGCTCACACTGGTGATGACTGTGATGTCTGCAGAAAAAGAAGAATTTGTGCGAGCTCTGTAACAAGTGAGGGGAGAGTGTGGTCGCCTGCTGTAAGTGTTGACAGCAAATTACTTCTTTTTTTTTTTTTACTTTTTTAATATTTTATATTGAAGGAACACTTGTGTACATCCAACGAGATGATATATATGCACAGACGAGCGGTGATAATTGTACCTTAATTTCCCCCTGACATCCTTCTGTGATGTAAGTTACTTTTTAGTTGTTATTTGCCGGCCTTGTGCAATAGGCTCATATTTCCCTTACGCAGGTATATCTGCAGCCTAGCCAACTTCCATTGCCATAATATGTTCAGCTCAGCTTTAGCCTTTAGGCACTAGCAGCTTTTCTCTCTTTAGTAGGGCACAGGTGTCCTTTGTGTTCCCTTTGCTTTAGTGTGAAGTCTGTACTACAGGGAGGGAGATGAAGGCAGGGGATGGAAGGGTGATTTAGAAGTTAAGTTGTTAAAAGGGAGGCTAGTGTCTCCTCTTGGTCCCAGGTGGATTTCCTTTTGTTTAGTCTACCAGAAGAGCAGCATATTTCCGGCTTTACATGCACAAGCAAAAATATAAGAAAATGAAACCAAAGAAGTTGAGAGCTGTAGGTTCAGAGGAAAAAATAAAACAGGAAAAGAACAGGTCCCACCCCCCAGTTTCCTTGGATGGCACAAAGCATCATAAACAAAATTCTACAGTGAATATGTTGCTGATACACAGTGATATATAATATTGCCCATAAAATTAGTCATGTGTTATTGCACAAAGCGGTGTGTTCCATAAGAGCTGCCTATTTAGCAAGCTTGATCAAGAACATTAAATATGAAAATAAGGAAAAAACATTTAACATTGTTGAAAAGTAATTAAAAATATATTTCACCATATGTTTCTCTGCCATTACTTCATCTCAGCAAAACAAATGCCTGGAGCATTTATTATCCCCCATCATTTTTTAAAGAGGCCTAATGTTCCCACTTGGCACAGGAGACACGCAGATAAAATGAATCAGCCCTAAAATGAATTGTGTGAAATGCATTTGTCTGAATTCAAACAGCTTCCCTGTAGTCAATAAATGCACGAGTACTTCCGATCTTAGAATGCATATGTCTGAAAAACAACTATTTTTTGCTGGTTATACACTGTGTATAATCTTTGCAAAGGCTAAAATGCTGTTAGCTTTATTAGGGTTCTATGCAGTCTGTGTTATAAAGTTCGTGTTAGTAATACAGCCCCCAAACAGCATTGGTATTAAAAAAAGTAAACCGAAAGAAAAAATGATAAATAAAATAAAACACATCAAAAAGCTTTCAAAGCACAGCTAAACTCATGAGACTAAATTAATCCATTGTGCAATTATGCTTTCCTGTGCTGTGATACCAGGAATAAATTTGACCACAGGGCTTTAAAGGATGGATTATAAGCAATTTTATTTTAATTCATGGTGGACAGAAGAAGAAGGTGTCTTCTTTCATAACTGATGATCCAGAGAGTGGTAGCTTGCAGGGCTGTATTCTGAAATTTATTTTAAAAAGTGATATATCACTGGCCGGTTAATGGGGGACAATATTATTATCTGGAAGAACAATGGACTAAAAAAAGGCAACCTAACAGGAAAAAAAAAAAAAAAAAAAAAAAAAAAAAGGTGTCCGTATTTGTGTCCAGTGTTAGGAACACCCATAATTAATGAAAATAATATATAAACACAGCTGGATAAAGATATTCACGCTGTGTAGTTGATAAGGTAGTTTATGCATTACTGGCACTGAAACATATGCTGTTTCTCTTTGTCTTTACACCAACTCCTTTTGAACATGTGAAACTCGACCCACCAGCCTGTATAACAAAGCTCTGCCATGCAAGACAGCTCACTGGCACTGACCTGGCACATAGCTGTGAGACGAGTGACCTGAGACAGAGATCAAATACAGCAGATTATTCCTGGGTGAACGGAGGTGAGGAATGTGTTGGAAGTGATATGAGAAAGCCCTACGATGCCCTGAAATGGCCAGAAATAGTCCCTCCATTGCTGGGAGCAATGGGAAGAGACTGAAGAGGAAAGAGTATATTAGATTAGTCCAAAAGATCTGGCTTTTTCTGTCACTATATGGAAGGAAGTAGAGGAAAACATGGTGGGAATCAGGATGATGTGGGATTTGGGACTCTTGAGTAGACTCAGCAAGAACAAACTTTCCCACAGTACCACAAAGCCCATAGCATGCTTTTCCTAACAAATAACATGTCTTTCCTTCTCTCCTATTCTACCCCAGAATTTAATTTCAGTTCAAACACCACATTCTGTTCTCATCTGAAAAAAAAAACATTATGAAAGTGCAGCACTGGCTTCAAATGGCATCTACAAATGGAAAATTTTGATTGAAATGTTTCAGCTGTAAACCACAATGGGGCTTGGTAGCCTGGAAACCCTGGAAACTCCCAAGTGAATCATCATTCACTGCTGACCACCCTTAAAGAACATGGCTGACATTGGCAGACCAGAAAAAATGTCTAAATATTATCAGATCCATGGCAAAACCACGATAGCTAGCAGAACTGTATGATTTTCAGCAGATGCAGTTTTGTTACAGTTCCAAATGACAGAAGCTGGCTATTCAATTGAAACTCTACAGATGTGTTCTTTCAGCACCAGAAGTCCATTTCTGAGCAATGCTTTGTCAGGCAAGAGGACAACACTGATGCAGAGTAAAGGTGGTGAAGCTGGGGAATGTAACAGATTTGCATCTTTATCAGTGGGACTAAGGGCATATGCTGATCAATGAAACCCATCAATAAAGTAATGTATTTTGAGCACAGAGGTCATTTGCCCTTTGTGTAAGAAAATAATCCGAGGTTGAATGATCTTCTTTAGCACTTTCCATTCATGATTTGATTTATTATTAAAAGTTCTGCTATCATTACTTAGTTGGACAGAGGTATGAAAAGAGATCACACTTTAAACCAGAATAAGCTGACATAGTTCCTCAAGGAACAGATTTGACTCTGTACCAAATGAGGAAGTGCTTTTCTAGTGTAAGCCACATTTCCACTTCAGAAATGTGTTGGTATGAGTGGGTATAGCTATATTGGTAGACCACTGTAGTTGCAGCCCATCCCTGTAAAATAAATGTATTTAAGTACAGAGTCTAAAAAGCTTACCTAATGTTTGCAAACTGATGTGAGACCTCCAAGTGAAATATGCCCTAGAAGTGTAAACTGCTACAAGATTAATTACTGCTAAACCCAAATATTTTATTAATTCAGTCATCTGAAAAATCTGTGATTTTATTATGTCTTAAATCATCTATAAGATTCTAAAAATTCAGCATGGTAGATTTCTGGTATCCGTCTAAAAAGCAGAGGGAGGAGAAGCATCAACAACCCTTGGCACAGCCACTCCCCAGATTAGCTGTATATGCCCATCAAAGGCTTCTTGCACATGCCAGGCTGGGATATATTTTCCAGGGGCCTCTCAGCTTCCAGGCCCCTGTTATGAAGTAGTACAAATCAGCATCATAACGTTGTTATAACTATTCCACTGTTACTGTGCATATTATAGATATCAATGCAAGATGGTTTAATTACTAGTATTTTTAGCTACTCAGAGTGACTGAAGCTCACTTTTTTTCCAGCAAGGATGTATATTGTGTGAGTATAAATTAACTCTATTCTGAGCTCAGAAGCAGTGCATAAGACTGTTGCTGTTCTGATTCAAAAAAGTTAATTTCTGCCAGAAAGAGAAGGAATAAATAAGTGTCATCTCCTCATGAACATAAAAGCAGAGGAGGAAACACATATGTGATTTGGAAACAGAATTACTCATAAATTCAGAAGTAATAAATCCAATTACCTTGCTTGATTCATCAATAAATGGGAAAGTAGTATTTGTTTTATTATCAAATTAAGTTATTCTTTGGAAGTAATCCACTTAAAATAATTGTTTCCTACCATCAAGCAACAGTAATCAGTAAAGAGGAACATAAAACGTCTTTCTACTGCTTTCTGCAAAAGGCTTTTTCACATTTTTTGATCACCAGATTATTAAACAGTGGCAGAGAAATCCAAAGAATCCAGATAAGTAAATGCTGCTTTTGTAACATCTTTTACTCCAACTACCTGGCACAGTGGTTTAAAAGCAAAAGTTCTCACACCATAGATTCGGAATAAAATGGTCTTTCTGGAACTCTGCAAGTCAGCTACTGCTGAATTTTCTGTCCTCAGTGAAGCAATGTTGGTGAAACCTTTGACTGCCAGGGCTGAAGTATTCTCAAGTGCATCTTCTGCTTGCAGGACAGCACTCTCTGTGTGCAGAATACAAAAATATTGGCAACACTGGTTCACCAATATTGACACAACAAACACAGGTTCACCTATCTCAGCAGTAACAGTTTAAGTAGAGGCAGAGGGAGATGAAAAAGCCTACAGCAAGTAATCCATTGTGGCCAAAATGTCCTCCTACAATTTTATGATTTACCTGAGTGGAATTTGTGAATTTAATGTATGGAGAAAAATAGGGAGAAAAATACTTAAAATCTTAACCTTTCCTTTTCTAAATCTCCTTTCTGCAAGGCAGCCACATCCTCTACAGTCTTTGAACTCTGAAACAGTAAGGTACCTTAGAATGCTGTCTGATACTCAGAGCTTGGTATGCAAAAGAATTAAACATCCCTCTGGTTTTTGAAAAGATCATCTATCACACCAATGCAGACAAGGCTTTTATTTGCCATCAAAGACCTGATTCATCTCATGCAGGGTAAGATCCAATAGTTGGATTAGAGAGATTATCTGGCAGCAACCAGCAGTTTTTGTGTTCATTCTGTTCTAGCAAGACGGAGGTTTTCATCCATCTGCTCAGGGAGCCTCCACTGTGTTTCTTTGGGAAAAGGTGAAATGACTTCCATTGCAATGCGAGACACGCCAGTATAGAGTTTAAGACAAAGCTGTGACTCACTGATGATCGATTTAATTTTAAATGACAAGTTTTCTAACTTTGGAGGAGTCACAGTCTGGAGCAGCCTTCTGATAGTGTAAGCATCAAGAAAATGATCAATTTTATGCTGGAACTTAGACACTTTATAAAAGTATTGCATGATGTCATCATCCATGAAAAGCACCATGGTGTGAGGACCTGGTTCCATGACCCAGAGACTCCTTTTTCACCAGTATTCTATGCTCCTAAATCACTAGGAGCTGCAACGTTGTACCAGACCACAGTTCTCTAATGGAAGCAGACGTTAACCCTTTGGATATGTAGGCTGTTTAGCTTTATACTATTACGTATATGCAAGCTAGGATCTAGCTTAATAATGGACGTGCTACAGAACTCTTTGGAGTTCAATTATTTCAACATGGCAATCTATTTCTGGGTGTCACTAATACTAATGTGGAGGTTGTATGTACTTATCTAGGACCATATTTTTAGTTGGCAGAGACCCATCTGAAGGCATAGAGCCTGTCTACAGTTGGAATCAAAATGTCAAACCATACAATATCTAAAAATATGAATGTAGTTGCACGCAGAAAAGTGGAAATTTTATAAGTAAATACAAATGGATAAGTCAGCTTCAACTTGTGAAATATGCTATTCTAATTTTTCTTCCAATAGGCATTGATCATGTTAATTTTTCAATATTCAGTATTGAAATATTTTACATATTCTAGTGAAATAATGCAATTTAACTTTGACCATATTATAAAATAGTGCATTTCTAATGTTTACCAGAAAAACCCAGTTAAACACATTATTATAATTTTAGAAGATTTACATAATCTTTAAAATAATAATTACATCTGAAAATACTGAATTGAAAATTCTCAGAAAATATTCAAGTGTTAGCATGATGATTGGAATTGCCATTATAAATATTATATAAAAATTATAACTCCACATTCTGCTTCTGAGATAGTTTAATCCAGCAGTTTCATTTAATGATACTCATTCTGAAAAGAAATTGCTGTACTTGAAATTTTAGGGAACCTGAATTCAGTGGAGAACAGTTTAGATAATAATAACCGATGATGTATCAGAACAGAAATCTTAGGATAGTCAAAGGGAGAGAAAACCAACAGTGATTAAAATAAATGAACAAAGAACAAAACTCATAGATATAAATTAAATCAAATACCTTTAGGCTCCTGTGAAGTCTGAAGCATAGTGCTACAGGCTAATTTCAGGGAGAAAAATCAGAAGAGGAATTCTGCAGTGATTCTAAATAAAGTATACTGTGAGCACAAGGATTAACCGCAGTGCACTACATGAAAAATTAATCTATTTTTGTCATTTGGATTCTATGACTCCATATTTTTCAGTTCCACTAGAACAGCATTTGGGGTGGTTTTTTCTCCTCTTGACCACACTTACATATGATTTTTCACTAATAATTCATTTGAACAATAAATCAATATCACCTATAGAGTATGTACACAAGACGACTGTATGACCAGGGTAGGTATTTTCCCTTGTAAAATTCTGAATTCTAAAATCCAACATTATTTTCAGATGTAAAGTCCATGGCTCTTACTCTTAAATTATGCTGTGGACAGAATTCAATACTGAGGATATTAGCAATAAAAGACTGAAACTGGAGAGCGAGGACTGTGTCCCATAACATTTGAGGGCTCGGCTGGCTGCATCTCTGCTCAGGAAGCCAGAAGAGCTCTGTTGTTCCTAGATCTTGTTGTGTGCCTCATCTGCATGGGAACTCCAAACTGGGGAAGACCCAGAGTGCTCTGCACCTTTCCTATTCCCTGATTTTCTCAAAAAAAAAGGAAATATGCTTGTGTCTGAGGTGGAACCATTGCATGTTTCAGTTGCTGCACAGAAAGGAAAACCAAGGGACTGAAACCCAAAGACAGCGACTCTGTGACAGGGCAGACTTCGAACCAAATAATTATAAGTGCTTTGGGAAGAAAGATCTAGCCCTTTCCCACCTTATTTTTTAAAATCTAGAATCCCTTACAAAGGTTAATAGTGCCTTTATTAATGTTCCCATTATTTATCCTTCTGCTAAGTCACTCTTATTCAACATACACAGACAAATCCAAGGAGGTGTCATCTTTGGAGATACTTGGGCTTCTTCAGTTCTAGCTTGGCATTTCACAGGCCTGGGCAGAACAGAGCAGCAATTAAATAAAATATCAGATTTATGTTTAAAAAGAAAGAAACTATCAAAGCAGACTTAAAATACACAAACATTTTTTGTTAAACAGCAGCTTACAAAACCCTGGATAATAGAGAGTTTTATTCCCAAAGGTTAAGTTCTGGGTGCATTCATCAGTTCAGACTTCATTCAGTATTCCTGAAGCACTTTGTGGGACAGACAAAAAACCTGCCATCACTCTGTCTGAACATGACCCTCCACAAGGATAGAAAGAAACACTTAGAACCACAATGACTTCAGAAACCAACGTGGAAGCTGTCTTTTACACTCAGTCTTTCCTCAGAAACTCACACAGAGCAATTTTTTTTTTTTTTTCCCACCAGCATGGAGAAAGCAGATAATCACAGAGATCCCTTTCTGTCTATGACTAACAGCTGTACGTCTACAGATGTTGGGCTTCATTTGGTAGAGTGCAGACATTGTATCCTCTATGTTAAAAGGTGCTGAGCTCAGTTTTGATGTGCTGTTGTTAAATGGCATAGCTCCATTTACACTTCTTGAAGGCCTGGACCGGGGTCTCTGTCTTGGTTTGTCCAATGGCGAGATGAGCTCAGTGAACTTACATTCAGAGAGCAGACTTTGAAGTTATCAGAGGCAGGTGTCAATGTTATCATCAATAGCACTTCTGACTCATTACTTCAACTGGGATTCTAACTGCGGTTTTGCCAATATACAATCCTTTAACTTCCTCTAACTTAGCATAATTGCATTACAGGACTTTCAAAGAGTTCTTTGAACCAAGGTGCTATTAACATCCTTTCAAAGGACATTCCCACCCAGTGGTTTACTCCAGGTAAACTTCCTTTCTGAAGAGAGTCTGTTTAAATGTAAATCAGCTTCTTCACTTCTGGAAATTGTTTCCAGTCTCTTCTCAACTACACTTTCACACCAAAACCTGTCTTCGAGGCTTTGCACGTTATATGGTACATTTTCAGCTAGGAAGCAGATAAACAATGAAGTTAATTTTATAATGTAGCTGATTATCAGAAAATGAGACTCTACCTCTAGATTACTAGACCATGGATTTAAGTAAGAAAACCTACTGATAGTGGATGCCCTAAGTAAAAGATATCGGTGGTCTTCCACTTTTAATCTAATTTTTAAAGTGTCCCGAGAAATCCTTACTGCAAACTTTGTCTGATTGGAAATTGAATGGCAGCTGTAAGAGACAAATGAGGAATAGCCTGAATGAAGCAAAGACTGAACAATCCTGTCTTCTGTCCACTGCTGGGTAAAGAGGAGTCTTCAGACTCCAGAGCTGTCATTTTTGCACCTTTATATAGCACTGTAATACACATTTAGAAAAATCCAAGTGTCTTAATCTCTACACAGTGTCATTTAGGATATCATCTGACATTAGCTAATCGTGCACATCCTCTTCATTTTCCTAAGCCAGGCACTGCTGCTGAATGGGAGAAGATAAGGAGCCTGTTTTTAAAAGCTTTTAAATGACAATGTTTAATTTCATCATTATTTTTAGGAAAGTAAAGCCTTTATAAGCCTTTTAAATAACAATCCATGGCCCTGTGGTAACATCTTGGCTGGCAATTATAGGTGAATGTACTGTGCTATAAGAAGCTTCAAAATGTCATAAGAAATTCTTCCTTTTCCTTTACATCTAATCATGTTACAATTGACAGTTTATGCTGTGCTCAAGCCATGCAGTTTCCAGGGGCAGCCCACTCACGTGCTGTGAATATTTACGAGTTATACATCATACAGTATTTATTAGAATTTGGACAGAAAATTAAGACTTTTAATGGTGTTGTATCTCATTTTTCTAAACACACGCAAAAAGGCTTGAACTATTGCCTCTCTTTTTTTCTTGGATTATCAAGGATTAATTTATTGATTTCTGTGTAAAACAAAACCCTTTAAAAAAAAAAAAAAAAAAGTAAAGAGATGGAGAGGAGAGCTTTGGTCATATTTAAACAAAAGAAATCACTGCTAATAGTTAAGCAGATGCGATGAAAAGATAATTTCCGTATCTTACAGGTTCAATTCAGGTTGAGTTTGTTCTGAGCCAAATGTTCAGCCTTTAGATGTCTTTGCATTGGAGATCGTATGAGCTTCATCTCTTTTCTGAAATATCCAATGCTATCACTAAAATACAATCTCTATCACAGGACTTTGGTCACTTAACTGTCAAGCCAGAGTCACACATGTATTTCTAGGCTGCAAGGGAAGCTGGGGACCATTAGATGATCCATTTTAAAGTTCAGCACCTGGAATAAGAAATCTCAGTGAGATTTTTAGTGTTGGTTGTAGTGTTCTACTCTACATATTTTGATATTTCCTCTTCAAATCCAAAGCAGGAACAAAATGCTTACAAAGTTCATCCTACATCTGGCAAATACATGGTAGAGGAGATCTAAATCTGTGCTCCTGAACTAATTCTTTCATAATGGTGTCAAAGGAGGATTTAATCAAGTAGGGTTAGTAAATTCACCAAGCCCTTATGATCACTATGGTCATGCTTTTAGAAAAGATCACAAATCTCTAAGACAGCTGCTCTTAAAACCATAAAAATGAATAAAGCAGAACAAGCTTAAAGTCCCAGAAACTTGTTCCTTGCTGTGCTTGTCCAGATTGTGTCTGGGTTGAGGAGATAATAAGCACTGGATTCACACTGCTTCAAAATTGAAGCAGAGCAGGGGTGAATCAGACCATTAAATTTGTAATCAGATCTGTTGATTGTCCATAGTGCTTTTAGTCCTGCTCTGTTTTAAAATAACCAGGGTTTTACTTGAGAAGAGAGGATATATCACAAACAGGTTAGCAGCCCTGAAGAGCTGTTTTAAAAAGCTGCATTCTCAGATTGTCAGATTTAGTAATTCCTTACCAATTCCTATTTAAATTAGTAGATTACAAAATCCATAGGATCTGTGGAAGGGGAACAGTCCTGGGAGAAGACTTCAAGTGGTAAGCATTTCTTTTCCAGTGAGATCAAGGTGTTCCAACTTGTTGCATTAGGGTTTGTTGCTGTATTTTTAAATCTGTGCTGCCAGATCAAACCTGCTGGTGTTTCTTTCCTCCCCAGAAAAAAAAAAAAAAAGAGATAGAAAAAATACCCTAAACCTTTCTCAGAATTTATTTAGCCACTAGGTTCAAATTTTCCAATGAGAGAATGTGTTGTTCATGCAAAAAATATGTGTTCATTTACATTTTCTTATGCTAATTTCCATACTAATTTATTTGTCAGACAGATATTTAAAATATTGCTTATACATAGATCTATTTATATATGCATGCATGCATGAATTCAGATACTATGTTAAAAACTGTTTCTCTTTGCATACTTACTGTACTTTGGTGTAATTGCCCAAATAAACATCAATAACAAAGAAGTTAGCAGGTCCTTGTTGGGAATAACCTTAAAAAACTATGCTTTAATCATTTGGTGATCGACCTTCCATAGGAGATAGAGACCATTATGTATTTCCCCCACAGCTAGATAGTAATTTGTCATGTACATTATGAGTATATGGAAAGGACATTCTTTAAACAAAGGCAGCAAGAAATAAAGTAATTTTCAGTCACTGTCATGAATATCCTGTTTAATTGCTGATGCCTTTTATTTCACCGCATTGCAATGCCCAGTCTGTTGTTTTGCAGTTGGGCTTTGCAGTAGATCAAAAGCTACAGTGGGCCCTTCCACTTCTCAAGAGGGCCAGAAACAAGACCAGAACCTGCTAGTTCAGACCAATATCTGCTGCGGGGCAACGATGGTACTGCAGGAGGAAACCGCTTTCTCCTTGACAAGCAGAAGACAAAAAGCCTTCCGACTCACTCACCCTTGATTGAAATGACACATCGCTACATCTTTCTCTCCTACATGACTCTTACAATCACAGCTCATTATCCTTGACCTGTCCTTAATACTGTACAGTCTGCCTAAAATAAAGGCTGAATAGTCTTTTTGACTGTTCCTATGTCAAACTCCTGTTTGTTTTGTCAGAAGCCATATATTTTAAAATATTATCTACCTTGACAACTCTGAGACCTTGACTGTATCAGGGAAGAGTTCTGCTCTTTTAATAGAAATATCCCCTCTTGACAAGAAGTAAATATATCGTCCATAACTGTCTCTGCTCTTCTCCTCTGTTTGACATCCAAAAGAGGAGATACAAACAGAGTGTGTAGCTGGTTGGTCATGGAGAAAACAGTAATTCTGTCCTAATGAGGAAAACAGGCGATTCTGGAGGGAATCAAGTCTCCAGGGAGCAGGAACCAGAATCAAAGATCATGCTGATGTTGGTTGCCACATGCTATGGTCTTCCCAGTTTAGAAAATACCACATTCTTCTGAAGGGCCCACAGAAACATCTGTGGGTTTGTGGGTTGGGTCCTGTTAAACGTTAACTGCTTAGTGCCAGGGAGCAGGATCTCTCACCAGAGCTCATAATCTACATGAGCAAAATACTGCAAAAGAAGCAAGGTAAGATTTGAAAAGCTGCCTATCCAAAACTTAGTAAACATAAATAATGTATTTCTTCCTGGCCTCGGTCTGCTTTAACGTAGCAGCACAAAAGCAGCCTTGCTATTGCTGCTGAGTGCAGCTAATGGTCTTTTTGTCTAAATTACAGTTGGTCCCTCTAAAAGTGTGTTTCCTGCCAAGTGCGGTTTCACGAAATGCTGAGTCAGAGAAGCAGGGAGGAGGGGCCAACAGCAGCAAGGGCAGCTGGCAATGGACCCATAAAAGTAATGGCACTTTTAAAAGAAGGTTAAGAGACAAGAATGTTTTGGTGCAAAATGAGAAAAACTGGAAGGCAAATAAACTGTAAAGCAGGATAAGTTACAGCATATCATTTCCCAGAAGGGAATATCATAATATAGTAGTTTGATGACATATAGAATAATGCCTTAATATTTAGGAGTAGATCCTTTAAAATATTCATGTGCTTCCTATTGGACTAAGGGCTCAAATATAGTCAGGTCACCATACATCAGCACAGTGATCTGCCCCAGGAAATTTGAGGCAATCTGCCCTAGTTCAGCTTTCTATAAAAGAGACTTAAGTAAACCAGCTCACTTTATATCTGCCTGCGGGCACATACCTTGGCAGCTATTGTACTTCAAGTGATAAACTGTGGGTTGTTAAGTGACAGTAATTCACACTAGTATCCAACGCACATGAAGTCTGAATACTTGTGAGGGCGTTAGCCAACTTTCTGACTTCCAGCTGGGGCAAGCGTTTTGCCACATCATCTACCTGAACTTGCCCTCAGCACTACCAGACAGCCATCATCCCTGACAGATAGAAGATGACGGCCTGTTGCAGCCAGCAGTGACAAGAAGAGATGAAAGATCATTTGGTTCTTACACTTGATGCCTGGAAATGGAAACAGGAAAAAGAGTAGGAAGAATGTAATAAAAAGTGAGATGGTGTTAAAAGTAGTTTAAGCAACTCCCAACCTCTCTGACCACTTGTCCCTGCTCTCTGTCACACCACCCCACCACCACCACCCCACCCCCCGTTGTGTCTGCAAAGTGTATGTGGGAGCACAAAAGGGACTACATGAGGGATCTCATGGATTTGAAAATTAACCCCCACCAAAACTTCTTGTTTTCCACCCAGAAAAAAAGTCATTTAGCTGTATGTACAAGCTCTGGGGTCAGTGTGACAAAGAGGGCAAGAACAAGTGCCTGCAGGGCTGTTTCAGACAGCACGACAATGGAAAAAGTTCGTGTAACCCACAACCACCTTCTTAATTTTCAATGTCTTTTCCTGCTCCAAGCTCTAATTCCAGCCACTCGGGACCTAATCTTGTTTCCACTTAAATAAATTGCAACTTTGCCATTAACCTTGATAGGAGTAAGATTGATTCTTGATATGTAAGGGATGTGATTTTTTCCACATTTCTTCAAGGGTATTGTGGAGAAGTACACTGGCATCTTTGAGTCCAGTTCTCCCCACTGGCTGCTCTGTAGTAAATACTTGGTCCTCAAGGAATCAGAGACCAAACTCCACAAGTCCCCCATACCCCACAGAAGGGCTCCCAACACCCCAGCACAGGAGAGCAAGGGCTTAGCAAACTGCAGCTGATGCCACAGCATGAAACATCACTGTTCTGTGAGTACGGCCCCTTCATTAGCACAGAAGATGGGTCCCATGCACAGGGTGGGTTCCTGCAGCACCTAATGCCACACTAGGGCTGGTCTGCCAAAATGCCGCCACAAAAGAAGGGCCACAGAAGGAGGGAGGGAAGGACCATGTCAGCAGTAACTGAAGATAGACTTCAGTTACAGTGAGACTACATGTGTAGGCTACAAAGTTCAAAGCGGATAAACACAAGCCTGCTTACAGCTTTGCCACGGGTGGGAAGTCAAGGCCATGAGGACTGAAGCCTGGCTTAACCCTGCAACCTAGCACAATAACAGAGCAAGTTCCTTGCCCAGAGCAGTGAAGTCTTAAGTGCCCCAGACTGGTCCTTTTTATCTCCGTGAAGAAAGTAATCACAGCAAGGCTTTCTTTTTATCCTGGACACTGCTGCCTCCTGACCTGTTTCTCACCTTTGACAGGGTTTAGAGGTTTTAGTTATAGTCTGCTATTTCTGCTTCTTTTTCCTCTCCCTACTCATACTTTAAAAGGATTGTTGATGCAGATAAGCAACACAAAGGGGAAATGTACCTTCTTACGCTCCTTTATAACCTCGAACTTCATTTGTGGAACAGCATCAGCAACACCAACCTGGAGGAATGTTTAGAGAAGCAGCTGAATGATTGGTACAGTGAAGGTGCTCAGCTGTAATGTTGATGGGTCTCTCCTGGAGCCAGATATGCAAAGAAATAATAAATTATACCACTGCTTTCTCTATCTTACCCTTTGTTTTAGAGTTGTTAGGTTTTGGTTGGGTTTTTTTTTTTGTTTTTTGTTTTTTGTTTTTTGTTTTTTTTTTTTTTTTCCAGGAGATATATTTATTGCATTTAGCTGACTCTTGTCCTAGATTTTCACTTGTAAGGAATGTCACAGTTTAAGACCCTAAACTTATTCATGCTTGTGATTCACAGAAAAAAAAGACTCTACAACTCGAATAGTTATACAGCAGGTATGTTTACTCCGGCGCCGGGGTGCAAGGGGATGTCTTCACAAAGCTTGCACACCCACCGTACATTTTACCAAAAACTTATAGAGTGTGGATATCCATATTCATTGGATTACATAACACAAACATACATATGCATGAGTAAGGCTGGGTTAGTTCGATAGGCTGATGGCAACAGTTTATGTCATCTCTGAACCTGTGCATTGCCTCCTGGTGGTCATCTTCAGGGGTCTTTGGGAGGAAGACTCATAGTCTTTCTCACCTTGGTTTCTTTCCTGGAGCATGCGCAGATTCTCTTGGCCAGTTTCTTGAATAACAAGAGTGTTTTCAGACGGTTTACTTTCTATCTTATCTAAGAGAACCAATAGAACTTCCACCATTCGTATATGGCTATCTTTACTCATTAGCAAAATTCCAACTAGTTAGAGCCACCTGTTACTCAAGGACAAAAGTATAATATTTTGCTGAAAATTGTGATCCTTGGTAGATTTTCACAGTGAACTGCTTTGTTTTGATGAACACTGTAGTCCTTGGTAAAATTCCACAGAACAGTCTGGGCAAGCAGGATTCTTAGCAATATTTTAAAAAATACTATGACTTGCTATAAGTAAATAAGTTGCTAAGCAGTTTTCTATAAGTAAATAAGTAAATAAATCTCAAAACAAGTAATCATTTCTCTGTATCACTTGTTTTATTTTTTTTCCTCTAAGGAAACATTTTGCATATCGATCGAAAATAAGAGGAAATTTTCCTCAATCCATTTATTAGGACAACTGTTAAAGAATGCTGCTCACAGTACACTGAGGAAGCAACTGATAGAGATGTCTTTGGGCATTCAAATATCAGGCTGGACATTTGTGTGTTGCAGGAGCAACCTGTGGGCTTTCTGCTGATGGCTTAGCTTTATTTTACATGTATTTTCTCATCACTATATTCTATTGTTCATAGGTGCTCACTTATGCATTCCCTTTCATTCCTTAACATTTTTCCAGCTTAAAATCTGCCCAAAGCATTTAACATAGTGATGGAAATTTTCTTCTTTCTTTTGATTTAGGTTTTTATTTCACTTTTCCTAAGAAAATTAGACAAAGCAGATAAAATGGGGTGTGTAAGGACAACAGAGACACAAACCTCTAGAGAGAGAAAAGGGACTATGGCTCAAGAAGCCAATGCAAGTTGTGCAAACACCAAGCAAAGCTTCCTGGAGTGGCCAGAGAGTCCCTCCAACAAGTAACCACTTAGTAAGCTACTTTCTCTGCTGCTAGCTTGTTTACTTCTCTTGCCCGTGTTTTTTTTAAATATTCTTCCAAATATCTTCCTCATTTTCCTCATGGCCTGTCACCACAGAAAGGAGCAGTGTCTCCAAAGGGGGAACAGGCAGATTTGTGCTGTTTCACAGTTGCTAACCATCGTGTTTTCCTTTTCTGCTTGACTCCAATTTTTAGCCTGTAGCTGTTGAAACAGTCCATAGGAGCTGACAATTGTACACTGCTCTGTTAACAGGGGGCAAGTGGTAAGAGGAAAACATCCACTTTTGTACTTCCAAGACTGAAAGGCACATTGATAAAGCCGCAGGACACTACTACTCACAGAACCCAGTTACAAATGAACTTTAAATCTCTTTGCTGTCTTACTTTTTCTAGAAGTGTTAAGGAGGTAGCACTGTGAGGGCTGGTCTATGCAGAGACACTTGGAAAAGTTATGGCCTGCTAATAGCCCATTTAACAGGTTAAATGAACATAAGTAAATGTAGGATTGTGTGTTTCACAAGATTTAATTTTATGCTAGTTTCTGTACTCATCGATTTTCCCCTTTTCTTTCCTTGAACAGCACCCTTAAAGGGAAACTATAGGCTCACCTTCTCCGCACCCTCTTAATGAATGCATACGGACTATTAACTGCTGTAGGCCCCTACATTATTAGCTTTAAGGGAAAGCAGGACATGCAGAAGTACAATGAATGAAGAGCAGAAGAACTAGAATACCAGTTTAAACGGGCATTATTTAAAGCAGCTGCCTCCAGGCATAGCATCTCTCCCTCTCTGCAGCGGGGTCCCTTGTTAGCTGCCGCAGGAAGGGGAGAGGTTGGGAGGAGCCAGGCTGACACACAGTGCAGATGTCTCCCTTGGGAGATGTCTCTACTGATGGGTGCGGATGTCTCCCATGGGCTCTTTGGAAGGCAGGTGAGGGCTGCTGCTGCCTCTGATGTGCTTGGACAGAGTTTTGCCTCATCCCTTCTGCGGACTGTTTGTCATTTCTGGTATTTTCAGTAAGCAAGAGCAGATAAGGGGGAAGGAACACAAAATAAATATTTTGAAAAGTAAATGTGAAGTCATAAGGGAGGATTTGAGTAATCACATATTTGTATGGTTTTGAAATGGCTGGGCCTGGTGCAGGGTCCTATGGTATCCCATGACTGCCCAATACTGGCAAAAGTGGTTTTGTTTTGGTTGGGTGTTTTTTTAAGTAACTCCAGATTTGTCCTGAGGTGCAAAATGTATGAGTTTCGCTTGTATCTCAGTAATGCAGATTAATGATTAGTGGTACCACCTGACTTCAGTTTACCCTAAGTCTAATATATTTGAAATCTGATTTTTTTTTTTTTTTTTGAAGTAGGATAGGTTCTTAAATCCCATGGTGCCTTCTTAATATTAGAGCATATATTGCCTCTGCTGAAATCATATAATTGTGTATTCATGGCCAACTCCTAGAGTTCCCTAATCTGGTTTGGATAGTGCACCGCATTTGTTAATAGCAAACAGCATTTTTTATAGCTGTCCCTGCCCTGGATCATTCAAAAGACTGTTATTTATGAGTAGAGGAGAATTTGATGGTGTTCCAGCAACAATCAGGACACCTCCAGACATAAACCTATTTCACAGATCGAGCCACCTGCATGTTATGTTTTTGTGTTAACTTTGAAACAAGTAGGCAATATATTTTAGGTAATGTGTTGTTAAATCGAGTAGCTTTTTGGATTAATAGCATTCTTTGTTCCTCATTTTTATGTTAGGGTTGCCCCATTGATCTTAAGTATGAAGTTGAAAATACACCAGGTTGACTCTTGACATTGCAAGATACTTTAAAAAGCCTTGTAACAGCAGCTGAGGATCTCCATGCAAGTTCTTCCATGCACTGCTCTTGTATAATAAAGGTGCAGCCAATATAGCAGCTAACTTCAGTGATTCATAGGTCTGGTAACTGCTCCCAGGGGACTACTGGAAGTTGGCAGAGCAGAGCACACTTGTTCCTCCACCATTGCCCACAGGGTCTGATTTTCCCTGTGTCTCCAGTGAAACAAACTGGCCATAAAACGCAGCAAAGAAATAGAAGAGTCATAGGATGTATTTTTTGCTTGTTGGGTAGCTGCATCCATTGCAGTGTTTTAGTGTGGTTATGAAAAGTGTTAGTCACAAGACTGACACTCTAGACGCGGCGCTGCCAACTGCATTAATCATGCCTCTGAAGAGGCAGACAAAGCTGTAGTCCAGAGGTATTAAACAACCTTCAGGCCCAGTGTCTAGTTAAAATTAATGATCCAAAGTCACCAGCATGTTCTAGCTGTTCTGCACTGCCCTAGCTATAGAAAAGAGATGTAAAACTACTCTGATGGGTCAGATAAACACTATTTGAGATTGCTTTATATTTCTAAGGAAGCACAAGAGAAGGTAGGACACCTGACCCAGGCTGTTCTCATTTCCTTAAGTCATGATGGTATTTAATTGCTCATGTTTCCAAACATATTGAAAAATGTATTAA